ATTTTTTTTTTTTTTTTTTTTTTTTTTTCGATAATTGAACGATTCAGGTTGCAAAATTCATTGTTAATGCTGAAAATCTATAGCATATCATACGTTACGTGCATTATGGATTTTCAGCACTAACAGTGAATGCCGCAGGCTTGGAAGAGATGATCGACGGAGGACGACATCGAGAGATTACAACAGCGAGCGCGTTGTAGTGGATATTAACGATGATCTTTGTCATTAAATCTTATAATACAATGCAGACTACCTAGTGAATATACTGCCAGATTTTGATTAATAAGCTATAGTCTCTCTCTCATTATTTTCAAGCAGCAATCCACGCGCCATTTTACTCTAGCTACCACTGGTTATATGTGCGATACGTTGATTATAATTGCAGCTTCATATTGCTTCATATCAATAAAGCAGATTTTGAATTGTTAAATGAACTCTCTTTTATTCTTTAACCGGTATTTATAATCTGTTCTTATCTTAAGATCGTACGTCTTTTTATATATATATATAATAAGACACTAATTAATGTGATTATAGCATATACATGATATTATATTAAGAATGTATCTACTTAAGAAATTTTTTAATATATAAGAACCGACTATGAATATACCAGCCTTTAATTTGTCCTTTTTCTCGTAAGAAAATATGCAGGCAATTTCAGCCAGCACAATAAACTCGTTTTTTGTTTTATTCAAATTATAACCACCTACTTTTCTATCTCTCTTTCTGTTATCTTGACGATCGACGCGACTGCTTCAGTTTTGATTCGTGAAATTTTTATAGTAGAGTATAAATTTGAACAGCAATGAACGATCATGAAAAATCGAATATCAAGTATCTCCGATCAATTCGTAAATCTTTTGTGGCGAGCCGCTTGTTGGATCTGGGAGACCATCGAGCTCATCCTGATCATCATATTTGATTGCTTAGCGAGGCTAATTGAGCTAGTACTCGTGATGATGAAATTAATATTTCAGGTGACAATAATGCGCTGATACAATAATTACATTTTAAATATATTTTGAATAAGATTGTATATCTTCATCAATTTGAAATAAAGGTTAAACAGATAAAAATGTCTTTTTAAAAGTGGAAGTTTAGAGAGACGCATTTTCTCTAATTCATTTAATTCATTCTAATTCAAGTAATCAGAAATGCGTATATAAGAAGAACAGTATATATTTATATGTTATCCTTATTTGAAGAAAATCTGTAAGAATTAAATAATTGGATTTTTAGGTGATCTGCTTTGTCAGAGATTTGTGTATTGACGCGATGCAGACATTCGCTAATGTTTTTCGAGGAATTGTTAACGTCATTAGCAACATTAGCTGTGACGACGTCGAGGACTTCGCTTCTGCCTGCATTGTCATTGCTTTGTGCACCGGAGCCGTTAAGATGTTCATGAATCTTCTCAAGAGGGTACATACCAAGTATCTCGTGATAATCATTATTGTCAACAAATGACTGACGATTCATACCCGATAATCCGAAGGGTTAAGAGTCACTCGCAAATTAGTAAACAATCGCACTTATCAGTTTTAAAACTCTACCGAAAAGTACACAAAAAATTATTATTTAAAAAAAATTATTACTTTTATATCTAAGATATTTAAATGTTTAACAGTCCAAGTTTCAAAGAATATATAATTCCATTTTATTTCCCAATCTAGGCCAAAACGGGAACTTTCTCGCATTTAAAAAATGAATAAGAAAAGAACAATCATTTTCGAATTATTTTGTTTATATAACAATTGTCAACATCTTTTTATAAGATAATATCTTAACAGTACATGTCGTTTTGGTCGTACTGTCCCCCATTGCTCTCCCTATATTGTGCGATCGCTTGCAAATGTGGTACCCTGCTTTTTAAAATCGTCAAACAAAACGAAGTGCAGGACTTTAAACCGTTCGTACGCATGTCTCGCAAGAAATATTACTATCACATGACATGGAAAGCTACGGTGCAAAAACCAGATAAACTACTTGGTAGACTACTCTTGCGACTGATATTAATCTATCGATCTAGAGAGAGAGAGAGATCCGCGCGTGGTCGCATGGTGCATTATCTATAGTTTTCGACCCGATAGAACGTTACATTAAACATTTATTTAACACGGATGTTTTTAAAGACTAATTGTTTATATTTTATGTATAAATGCAAAACTTCACCAATTTACCTAATTCATCGTAAAAGTTATCGAAATACCAGATTACTTCATTGCAAAAGTCATCAGAATGCAGGGAAAGTAGATTACTTGCTGTAATCATAAAAGAACAGCACTCTTAACAATTTCAAACTTGAAGATATGTACCGCATTGAAGATATATTCTCATTCTCAAACGGTCGTTTTTTTAACATTCGATGCTTTCATACATACGATTGATTTCAATGTTATATTGATACTTTAGAATCCCCACACAAAGCTGTTCTATATGTTTGGGCAACAAAGCGGCGTGACGCAAAGCGGCAATAATAACAATCCGACGACGAGGAGTCATAGCCAGGATGCGTGTCCTCGCGAGAGAAAGACGGGTAGAAGGCCAAAAAATCGATATAACAGGCATTATCGATCAAAGTCATAAAAGAATAATAATATAATTACGTAAGATTTTCTTTGTGAAGTACAAATATTTCTAGAAGATATATTTACATAAACGTTTATTATATGTAACAATGTGTAAGGCGCATATCAAATTTCGTCGTAAAATAGTATATAATTTATGTCGTATTATGTACATAGTGAAATATATATAAAAAATTTGTAACGCTTTTTTACATACCGCTTTTGAACGGATATAACAATATGTCGATTTAAACAATTTTAACAAGCGTTGTAGAAATTTTTCATGTATATGAGCATGCATCAATTTGTAAAAGAGAGACATTGGAACGTTCGTATATATATATTAAAAAAATACATTTTTTTTTAACGCATCTAGAAACATGCGCAATCTCTGCTTTTGCACATTGATGAATATTTAAACGCGTAGAATAACATTCATAAATTATAAAATCTTACACTAGAGAGTCATGGGAAACGTCGTAGTTATAAATAAAAAGATTCGACCTGCAATGAGGCTCGATAATACTTTCATTGTCCTAACTTTAACTTAAATATATTTAATCAGAATGAAGAGTAGCCTTCATGTGAATTGCGTTACACACAATGGATAGTTTAAAGTTTAATCATTGATGATGGTGATGACTAAATTATGTTCCGGCCAAGAAAATGTCTTTGGCAATTGGATCTATAATAAAATATATTAAGACATATATAAAATATTCAGCGCGATCTCAACATTAACAATAACATTGAAGATATTTTTAGATTGATGAATAATAATAATTAAACAAAACTTCCTACATATATTTTATCGTTTTAATAACCTTACAGCAATCTCACAAGTTGTTACCTTGTCTGGTGCGTTCAGAACTTGGAACTCTTCAGCCATTTTCTCGGACAGCTCTTCTGAGAGAAGTACTTGCAACCACGGTCCTTGAACGACATACGGCTTTTCTTTAGACACAAAAGTACCCGTAACCGACGGCGCGACTATTGTAACAGCCGAATGAGACAATATAGATTTGAATGTAAAATGCCTCCCATGCATTACACGGCCCCTAAAATTTTAATATTACATTATTCATCGTAATCACGTTACTGTTGTAGCTCTGTTGCACAAATTTCAATCTATCATGACTAACTTTATTGCCAATGGTAATAACGATCCAGCTTCAAGATTGAATGTTAGGTGTAGTCCGGACAGAGCTCTAATACTATTTTCATCGGAGACATTGACGTCCTGCTGCTCACACGGCGACAGTCTCTCTGTCTTCACAATCGGTTTCACATCCTCGTCATCATCAGAATCGTCCCTTTTCTCCCTGTATCTCTCTGCACTTCTATCGTTTGTTATTTGCACCCACCTGCACCCAAATAATGCCCGTATTAGACTAGAGATTGAGATTGAGATTGAAATTAATCAATCAAAAGAAAGAAAATTAATATCAAATTTAGTACTCACTTTACTTTAATAAATTAAATTCACAATAACAAAGAAAGAGCATACAGATCTCAATGGTAAAATTATTTATTTTAATTTAGAAATATACAAACAAAAAAAAACAAAAGCGACCTAAACGTTTCGGTCTATTTTAGACCATCATCAGTAGTTAATATAATTTAATACAGTATTTGTTATATTTGTTGTCAAATTATTACAGTATTTTTGTTTAATCCCGTTTATGTAAATGGACTCATAAATGGGATTAAACAAAGAAATATTGACAACGTAAGACATCGGTACTGTAAAAATTTGACAACAAATGTATCGAATACTGTATTAAATTATATTATGATTATATACTGATGATGGTCTAAAATAGACCGAAACGTTTAGGTCGCATTTGTTTATTTTTGCTTGTATATTTCTAAATCAAAATAAATAATTTTGCCATCAAGATCCGACGTGTGGCTGTATGCTCCCTTTGTTATTGTTTATATTAGTAGCCACTTATAAGAATTAATTTTAAATCAAATTCAATCTCAATCTCTATCTCTAGTCTGATATGGGCATAAGGCTATGGTATCAAACTCAAATCCAATTAACAACATTATTTCCTAATTCTATTGATCAGTTGTCATCACTTACCAACATTTGGCGGATACACCGCTAGTATTTGACCCGTCTCTCTCAATGCCGCATTGTATTTTCTCAGCTATAGAAGAATCATCCTCCATAGCGGAATGCATTCTTCTCATGTCGGT